AACAGGCTTCGGCCCGCGGGGCCGGACCGTCCTTCTGGGTGTCGCCGCCGCCGCGCTTGCGAGATCCGGAGTGATGCTTTCTCAGCCTCGGACCCGTTCCAGCCTCCCGGTCCCCTGCTCTCTTCCCAGCACCGCACCGTTGCCAAGGGCAGCCGAGGCGCTGCCTGGAAGGAGGTGCAAAGTCATAGGAAGCCGAGGTGCCCTCTGTCGCGCAGCAGGAGCGGGGCTAAAACCAGGCTTAGATGCCAGACAGGCTTGCTAGGGAACGGCCGCTGGAGACCACAGGAAGCTGATCTGGGCTCAGGGAGCCCGCTCCCCAGAGGGGGCAAGGGCAGGGGGGCCGCTGGGGAATGCCCCAGTGCTGGCACATGCCTGCGTGTTTGCTCAGAATCAAGTCCCATCCGATTGAACCGGGCAGCCTCCCAACTCCCTGGATAGAGGACTGCTGCTTCAGATTTCCTGGGCAGGAAGTCTTACTGCGTGGTTAATTTTAGGGTTCAAATAAACCCAGTGCCGCATGATCTGCATGAGAGTCCCTGGCTCTCTTTGCTAGAGGATTTGAAGGAGGATGCTCCCAGAATCCCACCTTGAAAATATCTTTTTTTATTTGTTTGCTCCTCCTTTCAAGCCTTCAGCTTTCTGAAGCAGTGTGTTTGTTGGTGCAAGGACGAGAGTTACGGAGGCTGCACCAGCAGAGCCGCTGACCTGGAGGGGCTGCCAGGAAGAGCTTTATTTCCCTCCAGAGTTATTCCTCTGCATCCAGTAGCTTTTCGTGCCAAGTTCTGTATGTGGGGAAAAAAGGATACAAGGGAAGGAGGGCAGTTGCGGAGACCAAGGGGGACGCCTGAAAGCTGGGCCTTGCCATGTCAGCAGAGACTGGTGGCGGTGGCTCCTGCCCCATTTGTATGTCGACTATTCTTCTGATTCTAGGCAGCTTATAGCACATGAGAGAAAAACGCCGTAACAATGATTTAAAACTAGACAGTAACCCATAACTGCCATCAAACAGGTCTGGAAGGGCTGTTTCCATCCTTTCCAAACCATCATGGGGGGGTGAGAACATGACCCAGCTCAGGGGGCAAGCTGTTCCAGAAGTAGGTGGCTGTCACTGAAGAGTCCTAGCCCTCCTGGTTTTTCTCAGGGTGGGGGCCTCATTAGATCGCCTCCGGATTCTGTCTGAAGAACGCAGTCCCAAAGTAACAAGGGTCCAAGCCATTGGGCTTTCTGCAGCTGCTCCATCTCCTCCCTGAAAGCATTTCTTATGGTATGAGAGTTACAAATCTCCCTCAACAGGTTTATGCGGGAGACAAGGCTGCATACAACTGTGAGCTCCCTTGGGGACTCAATTTCATCTGCAGATTAATTGTTCTAGGAAAGAATGGTAGAGGACCACTTGCAAAGCAACACTATCCAGTGGGTTGTTTACTAGTACAGTAAGTCTTGGGCATCACCAGCGTTAAATAACGCGTGGCTAAACGGGGAAATGGTACAAGTTGGTCATAGAAGAAATGCCAACTGCGTTCTATGGCTTTTTCAGAACCTTCCACTGAAGGCGGAAGCAGGTGAGAAATGGAGAGTCTGGACTGCCCTGTCCAGCAACGTGCTTCAAAAATGGTCTTTCCCGCCAAGCCTTTGGCTTCATCCCCCATCTTCTCCCTCCCTGTGCAGGGGAAATTGTGCTCTCAGCTGTTCTGAGCTTCCTTCCTCCTCCCTCTTTTCTCTTAATCTCAGATCTTAAGTTTCTTGGAACAGAGAGACCTTTGTTCATTCTGTTTTGCTTATTGTTTCGCTCTCTCAAAACAATTCAGCATTTTTGGAAATTTCTCATTATTCCCCTAAAATCAATGTTGCTGATTTCTGAGATTGAGAATAATGTAATCCGTTCTGCTTCTGCTTGTCATGTGGAGGTTTGCCCCACAGTGATTACTGGAAACTACTCAGTCTCTGAAAGTTCTGTGTAGTCCACATGCCTTCAGTCCTTTAGGGACGAGAAACTTGCTTTTGCAAACATGCACATTTTGAGACATAAGACAAAGGCCAATGTGTATGGCAACTCCTGTGTGCCTCTGTGATGCAGGCTTTCTGTTTTAGTGGTCCTGCTCACCTAGGGATACCTTCTTTCCTGCTCTAATGTGCTGTGAACCTGCCCTTTCAGTGGGTTTGCTGGGTGTGGCTGCGACTGGCGTGGACTGGATCTTGCTGAAAGGCGCAGGACAGGCAAATGGTGGGAACAGCGGCTGCAGGGTCCCTTTGAGACCCCGCCCTCTAACACCATGTCGTCCTGTATCCACTTGAACTCCTCAGGCGTCCAGGCTGGAGAAATTCCCCAACCACTATGGGGCTCAGATGGATATAAAGCAAACAAAGCCAAATAAATAAATAAATTCCAACAATAAAAATATCATGACTAGTTCCACGTTTGGGGTATGCGGGGAGAAAGGTCCTCATGAAGGTCTGCTCTTTTTTCTGGGGTTAAGTTTTTTTTTATTACTCCAATAATAAAGCCATCTTGTAGTTGCTGTTCAGAAAGCTAAAAATATGCAGCAGTCAAAGCTGATCTAAATGCCTGTAGCTTGCAGTGCAAGAAATAACACCACTCACTGTGTAAAAAATACAGTCTACATTGCAAATAAAAGACTTTTTGCTCATTAACTGAAAATTGGCTGTAGAGGTCCCCTGCTAGCTTTCTTGTAGCTCAAGGAAGCAGCCCTCTGGCTTTAAGATCATAGCATTAGGAGGGATAGCAAAAATTATTTGTCCAACCTTCTAATAGAGAAAGCTGTTCAGTTTGCAGCTGTCAGCTGCAAGACACAGCAATGAATCTTGACTCTCCAGAAACTCAATTGTGCATTCAGTAACTAGCCAACAGCTTCATGTACTGACCCTGCTAGATAAGTTGCTTCACTGCAGACAAGAAAGAAGAAGTTAGCTAGATGGATGATACCTAGATAGGGATAGAGATAGAGATAGCTAGAGTTAGATCATCCATTTACATATGGGTCAGCCTCAGGGCTAAATCCTAGGCCTTTCCCCCCCCCTTCCGTGTCAATGGACTTCGGCTTATCTTTTCCTGGCTTTAAGAGTCAGGGATGTGGGTTTCATGCTGACATGATTCTGTCTTGCCTGAGCACTGCTGGTTCCCAGCTAACTAGCTTTACCTCTTGTGGAGACATCTTGGAGAAGTCAGAGGTGGTCTGATCTTTTCTGGAAGAGGAGGCTGCACAATGATTACTCCTGCCCTTTGTCACCTCACAGTTCAACTACTGTGGTTTGCTCTGTCCTGGACTGCTCTTGAGGTTCAAAAAGCAGCTGCCCTTGTGATAATGGGTCCAGCCCAATTTAGCCAGCCATGTAACACCCTTCCTGCAGCAGCCACGTTGGCTGCTGGTTGGCTTCTGGGTGCAATTCCAGGTATACATTATCACCTGTGAGCCTCACCTCTAACTTAGGACCTGAGTCTCTGTGAGGCTGCCCCTTTGGTGGAATCTGCCCACCCAGTAAGAGCCATCCAAGAGGGAACGCTGCAGGTGCCCACCTATGGCAGGTATGGATGAGGGGCATCCTTGAGACAGATGCTTTCTGCCATGATGCTCCTACTGAGCAGCCTCTTGCCCCTAGAGAGGAGATGGCCCACTGGTGTTTTGGGAGCAGTCAAGTTCTGGCTCTTCCACAGAGCCTTTGGGGATGAGGTTGGATGTAGGGTGGGATAGGCAAGAGGTAGGATGGTTAGAGAGAGCCAGTTAAGTGTCGTGGTTAAGGCAGCAGGCTAGAAACCAGGAGACCATGAGTTCTAGTCCCACCTTAGGCACGAAGCCAACTGGGTGACTTTGAGCCAGTCAGTTTCTCTAAGCCCTAGGAAGGAGGCCATGGGAAACCATTTCCGAGCATTTTCAAAAGACAAGCCTGACCAGTCACCCGTTTCCTGAATCCTCTGGCAATCAGTTCCTACGTATCAAGAAGCAATCTCGTTTTATTATAAGTCATGGTAATTTATCAGTTGTAGATTTACAGTCATTAAGACAATCCAGATTCATAATGGTGTAGTTCCAGAGGGGTAAGCAATTTCTATAGCCCACGAGTTGAAGGCGGTCCTAGACTCTTTCGGCAGCAAATCATGGATTTGTGGTGGCTCTATTTCCACAAACCCAAAGCAGAAAAATAGGTGTGTGGATCTTCTAAGGCCTTTTTTATGTTTTAAAATCGAAAGGGGGGTGATGTTCCCCCAAGGGAGAATGCAGAGGCTTGCAAGCAGAGAGTGTTTTCTCTTTCGCTGTTTGTCCTCCCATGCGCTGTCTTGGCCGGTGACTCACATCTTCTCAATCTTTCTTTTGGCTGGGTTCACAGAAGTGGAAGGGAGCTGGCCAACTTCAGGGGGCTTTTCTGGATCTTTTGCCCCGTCTCCATGGCTCTGTGCAACTCAAGCTTTTAACCTTGGGCTAAGGTCAACTGAACATGGGCCGCCATTGTGTGAGTGCCTTTCCAAAAGAGCAAACAGCAGCCCTCTCTCCTCAGGCTTGGCCAGGTTTCTAGGGGGGCTGTAACCCTTCATGCTCTTCCGAAGTGGTTGATGTGGACCGGTCCCATGATGCTTTCCACTCTTGCGCAGGAGGGCATGCCATCAAAGTGGGCCAGATTTTCCCCTGGCATACGAGGACTGGGGCAAACCACTGACTGATGCAGGCTTTTTTCATTGTGCAGGACTGTTGCTCCAGGAAGTGACCATGGCTAGCCTACACGAGCAGCGATTTACAGAAGAGAAGCCACTGCTCCGGGGACAAGATGCTGAGTTGGTAAGTCCTTTTCTTTTCTTCTCTGCTGGATCTAGAGACTGTTAGCCGTTTGCCTTAAGCAGCACGATGAGGGCGTGGATCTGACAACCCTTGATTTAAGCAGATATGGGCAATCTGTCTCTTGGCTGAATTTCAAAAGCCCTCTGCCATCAATTTGGATCTCTAGTAAGAGCATCTTGTCTGTTCCAGCTCCCTCCCTTTGATGTCGCGACACACATGGAAAAGGGGGCAGGGATTGTGACACCGCTTCCATCACTCTGATCCCCCCCTTGTCCTCCCCTGTAGATGCTGCTGGTCTGTTTCCTGGCAGGATGGTGGTGGGAGCAAACAAAGGGGGAAACGGAGTCTGAGAACAAGAGAAGGAAAAGGGCCAACAGAAAGAAAAAGCCAGAGGCAAGCGGCAGAAAGAACAGCTGATCTCACAGGCCACACCCCCAGCTTGCATTGGCTTTATCCCTCATTAATGCACACAGCCCTTGACAAGGAAAGAGCCGCCTGTCCCCAGTGGTCCCCAGGAAAGATGCCCTTTTCCTGGGATTTCTCTCAACTTCCCTGTCTAGTGTGCACTCCTGGCATTTCCTGGTGGTTGTACACCCACGTATTAGCCAGGCCGGATCCTGCTTAGCTTTTTCAAGATCAGCCAAAATTAGGTTGGACACCAGTGCTTATAATTTCCAGTCACCCTGGGTGACTTTGGGTGGTCCCCAGGTTACAGAACATCTGCTCTACAGAGTCTACTCGATGGGTCTCTTTCCAGGAACCTCCGCAGGTGCTTTTCTGGCTGTAGGATCAGTGGGAATCATAAAATCCCAGAGCTGCCAAGAGAAGCACAGGTTTGATTTTATGTGTTTCCTTCCAGGAGAATTCAGACACTTTCCTGCCTGCAGTGGACACTGACTGGAAGGTAAGGTTCCACGTGTTCCCATTTTTTCTGCTTTACTCAGGAAACAATGGGGGATTTGCCATCATAGTGGCAGGACCAAAGTTTCAAAAGTCACATTCTGGCCCTGCGTAGGACATGCAAGAAATCTGGCAAAAAATAATCACTTGGTGGCCCCATCCTGGTTGGGTTTATTTCTCGTACCCTGAGAAAGTCACGGAGCAGTCTAGAGCTCCTAGCTGGTGGATCGCAGGCCACAGGATGTTGGCTTGTGACGTACTTTTAATTCAGTGCATGGGGATCTAAATAGAAAGCAGAGCTTGCGCAGAACGGTGTAGCATGCCTGGGGTAAAACTGAGCTGTGGTGTACTTGTGGCACATTGGTTTAAATGTGCCCAAATTAACTGGTATTGGCTTTACCATCAGCAGGGATGGCGGCACATGGCATGGCACACCTAAGGCTGGTAACCTGGTTGATATTTCATGTGACACTTAAAATTCATTATGCAAAAACCGAAGTTGACCAAATCTACAATGGCATTGGAGGTCAATATCTGTGGGCCCATCTGGTGATGCCCATGGCATTTGGAAGGCTGCAGTGTGGTGCAAAAGGAGTAAATGGCAAATGGCATGAACACATAGTATGAAATGGCAGGGCAAAACTGACATGCTGGGTGTCTATGAAATAAAAGACTCATTTATACAGATCCAGTTACATGTTTTTCCCCCATCCTTGAGATTGGAGGAAACAGGAAACAAGGTCGATACAGAAATCTGAGCCTGGCAAGATTGATTTCAGGGCCAGCCCAAGAACAACAGGGAAACAGTCCAACAGAGTTCAGTTCCTTTATTGCTTACACCGTGTAGATAAAATCTTGCCAGACTAAATCTGTACTACTGCAACTATTTTATATACCCTGGGAGATTCTAGGGAACGGCTATTCTAAACCTCTTATACTTCCCACACTCCTTCTCTGGTCTGTGTTGTCTCTTGTCTCTCTGTCCTTCTTGGAATGCACTCCCTCCTTCCTGAGAACCTTGCTCTCTTCTGCCACGTCACCCCCCCACCCCTTTGTAGATACATTCCATCACATCTTGATAGGGCAAGAGTCCAGAACTTGTCTCACCTCCTGTCCTCTGGTGGAGGTGATGCAGGGGCATCATGAGCGGGATGTGGAAGGGCATTTAGGACCAGCAGTGAGCAATGAAAGACAGTGTGGATCTGATAGATACGTGGAAGTTGAAGGTTGTGGATGATGGTGTTCATCTGTGCTGTGACAGGAAAGGGTCTTATGAATCATGCAGCTATTTTTCTTGTATGGCCTTGCAATGACTGGTGCTTGATGGAGAGCCAGATATAATCACAACTTTCAAAGGAGGTCCTGCTTGACAGTGGTGGTAAGTGAGATGTTTGTACCATTCCTTGGCCATTTATAGCTGGTCTCAGTTGGTGTCATGAACAGCCTGCAGCTTGGAGAGTACCATGTCAGTGGTGGGGAGTGAAAAAGGAGTTCCAGGAAGAACTTGGGGCATTAGCCATTGTTGGCAAAGAATGGGGTTTGTTTGGTCAAGGTGTGCAAAGAGTAGACAAATTCAGTGAGAGGTAGAAGTTGGGCCCAGTTGTCCTGTTGGTAACTAGCATAGTAACAGAAGTACTGTTCTAATACCACATTGGTCCATTCTGCTTCACTGTCTGATTCTAGATTAAAAGCAGTGAACTGGGCTCCATGATCTGAAACAATACAGGTGGGCAGGTCATGTAGCCAGAAGAAGTGTTGGAGGAACAAGAGAGCCATTTTTTTGGCAAAGGAGATACCAGCACATGGGATGAAGTGGGCCATCTTGGTGAAATGATCCACCACCATGAGGATGGTGGTGAATCCTTGGGAGTGGGGAAAGTCAGTGATGAGATCTATAGAGGATTTGACAGCACTGGTAGAGATTGCAGGAATCCAGCAGTCTTGTCTGGAACATTCTTAGACTGGTCATGTGGTAACATACCTCAATGTTGATGCGTGGCCACCAAAAGTCACGGGTGACCAAATGAAGGGTTTTGTGCAGGCCAAAAGGTCCTGCTGCAGGAGTCTGGCATGTTAATTGCAAGAATTCCTTGCATAACCCTCCTGGACCATGGTGGTGTACAAATCTATTCTCCACACTAAACAGAAAGAGCTCAGACTGGTCTGGGCTCATGTGAAGGTTGCGAAGTGGTGCTTGAGAAAATGGGTCATTTTCCTGCTGGTCCCAAATGCATTCAATCAAGGGAATAGCCCCTAAGGGGGCTGCAAATTTTGGGGGGGGTACAGTGTGGTTGTCAGTGGTGCCTCTGATGCTTCAGAGCCATAATTTAGAAGCCTGAAAAGGGCATTAGCCCATTTGTTGTGTGCTTGTAGCATGTAAGACCCCATAAAGTTGAATTGCACAAGAGGGACCAGCAGACCTGTCTTTGATTAAGCTTGAGCACAAGTGCTCGAGGTCCCTGTAGTCTGTCTAGACCTGTGTTGGACACCTTGTCCCTTCCAAGCATTGCCACCAGATCTTGAAGGTATCCTTGATAGTAGATAGCTCCTTCTCACAGCTTGTATAGTTCAGCTGGAGTTAATTTCTGGATGTGAAATGCACATGACAAGGGTCGCTGATCAGTTGTGGGCTGAAGGATGGCAGCAACAATGACATTTGAGGCATCAGCCTCTGCAGGAAGCAGCTTTGCGAAGTCAGGATCCTGCAAAAGGGGGACAGAGGCGAACATTTCTTTGAGGTCCTGGAAGGGCTGCTGTGCTTCAGGGCCCCAGTAGAAGAGAACCTTGTCCCAAAGCAGTCCTGAGATGGTGCAGTAATCTGTGGGAAGGCCGGGATGAACTTATGGTAAAAGTTTTGGAGCCTGGCCCTCAGGCTGTGACACGTGTTCCCTGATGCCCCCACTCTCATTCTGCCACATAGTATCTCTGGCTCTGCCAGGAGTTGTATTTTGCAGAGTGGGGAAGGAAGGATCTGGACTTGGCCCAGGTTGTTATCTGGGAAGAGAGAAGCAAGTAGGCAGGGAAGGAAAAGAATTCGGGCTGGGAGGGTGTCAGCCCTTTGAGGTGGTCCAGACAAGAAGCATCAACCATGAGTACTAATGCTATCTTTATTGTAAAATTACAATAACAGAATCTTGCAAGTCTGAAAATACCTTTCCCCTCCCTTACTTTTACTCTCCCGAAAACTAGGGAGGGTCCTCTTCACCCTCACCCCTCCTTCGGACTCAGATTTCGTTTATCAGACCATTATCGAGGCTGCGGCTCTTCCTCCTGCCTCCCATGGTCTTTCCCACATACCATCACATCAGGCAAGAGAGGTTGAGATCAGAGTAGTGGGTGGCAGTGGCTGTCTGGTGCTTACTGAGTCACTTCATTGAGCAAGAAGATTGTGCTAAGATCAGGAAGAGGATGGCAGGAAGGATCTGCCTGTAATCCTGGGCGGCTCTGTTTTGCCCACTTCTCCTGTGGTTGGCGTACCCGGCACTAACTGTCTCACATTTGATCTTCTGTAAGGTCAGTAATTCCTTGGCCAAACCATTCAAAGAAAGAAAAGAAATGCAAAAAAACTGCACAAGAGAGGCATCCAAGCAAATGACCACGGGAGCCAGACAGGTGGCCAGGCTACCGGCTTCCAGAGACCCCTCCTCATGTGGCTGCTATGGGAAGGTTTCTGCCATGATTGCCTGCCAGAGCACTTCAGGCCTCGGCAGCAACAAGATGGTGAGGACCTGCCTGCAGCTAAGGATGTGTGGGCTGCCTTTGGGGCAGGGCGGGGGGCATCAGAGAATGCAGAACAATACAACTGGGGTGAATGAAGAGAGTCTGACCTTGCCCAACAGAGTTGAGAAATATCCACAGGGAAATGAGGGTGTAGGTTTAATTATGGATATGAGGGCTGTAACATGCATCAGAAAGTATTAATTGGATGTACGTGTGTATATGAAAATAGGAGTCAGCAGGTTGATGATAGTTGCGTGTTTGTTCCAGTCAGGGACATCAGGAGGGAGGGGGGCAAAAAAGTCAAGAGTAAAAAAGTGGGGGGCAGGGGCTTTGATTGCACAATTGCAAATGTAATCTTGACTTTATGTACCTCTCCTGGAATTCCCTGATAATAGTAGTTTTATTTCTTATGGGCTTACGACTAAACACAATACAGACATAGAATAAAACAATTGCTACAGTCATAAATTACATCAATTGTAGCCAAATAATATAAAAAAGGGGACTCTAAATTAAAAGGGCCATGACCTCTAATAATATTAACTGGTATACGTTCAAAGGGACAGGAAAAAATTGATTTGTTTTGAAGCTCCTTCAAAGGAGCCCAGAAAAAAGCTTTTTTTAAACTTTAAGTAATCCCCTTCGAAGCATAAAGCTGGAGGGCACCGATTCCAGAGAACAGAAGCTGGGGAGGAAAAGCTCTGGACCGTGACAAGGCTCTTCTAATGTGCAGCAGAACCAAGTGACCCTGGGCCAATAACTGGGTCAAGCACACGGGGGGCTTTCCAAATAATCAAGGGAAGGAGGCTTTTCGAACAAATAAGCGTATTTCCAAGATGCAGGAAAAAGACCGGTGGAAACAGAATGGTTTACTTCCTTTATAAAAAATGGGAGAGAAGAAAGAAAGGAAGGAAGGAAGGGAGAGAAGGAGGGAGGGAAAAGGGTTAGATTGGCTAGGAGTCTAAGAAGCCGTAATGTTCATTTTGCCTATCACTTCTTCTAAAACTGGAGAGAAGGAAAATTCCAGTGTCAGGTAACTAGCGTCACCAAATTCAGGAATGCTAGAACCCAGGCTGGAGTATACCTTTTAGGGGACTCTGCAGTGACCAAGGATGGAAATTTCTACTGAGAGCTACTTTTTCTGCTATTGGAGCTAGCAGATCTAGTGCTGTATAATAAGCTGTTGTCAATGTTTTTGGTGATTTTGGTATACCAAAGAAGTAATTGCAAATAATGATGTAGACATTTTATGAATTAGCCCTTTCACTTTTTGAGACATATGGA